GGATATATATAATATATATTAAACAAAAAGGTGAAGAAATCATTTTTATATTTAAGAAACTTGGCATAATAAACATGACTTTTACCCATTTTGTCACATAAACAGCATATTTTCTTTTGGATTTAACTAAAGCAAACTGAAACAGGAAGTGACATCAAAGGGGAACTCCACCCTCTCACTCTGATCTTTGTTTATTGAAACATTATTTGAACTCTGACTCTTCTTCATCTCTCTTATAGTGACTCAAAATGATCTAAAGAAACATTAGATTCTTCTCTAGTCTGTTGTTAGACATTTTATCAACGCTCTGTTTACATGCGGACATTCCCCTTTGACATCACTTCCTGTTGCTTCACATGCAAATATCTCAACAACTGTTCATCTCAGCGGCGTGAAATTTGTTTTGCAATATGTTGTCAGTGTTGTCTTTCCAAAAATGAATTCAAATTCATGACAAAAATTTGATGTCACAGGCMCTTTAAAAAGTKTAGGATGTATCAGTCRATCTGTTTCAGCTCTTCTTTCCTTGGCAGACCTCCACCTCCCTGGACTCCCACCTGCTCCTCCTTACTGTTCCCCCTTCATATGAGCATTAATTCAATAAACAAATATTTTTCGTTGATACAGAAACAATATACCAAGAGGAGTACACGTTTTCAGGTAACATTTCCYTTCAGACTGATGAGCTGCAGCAGTGGATGACAAGGATCCCTGCAGGCTGGAGTTATCATGATTTACCATCTGACCMAGCTGGTTCCTCTCACTTCCTGGAAGACAGTCCAAGCAGAAAAAAACAAAACAAAAAACAAAAACAAAAAAACAGACTGCCTTCATGTTTTGCAACAGGTCAATACAAAACAAGCAAACAGAAAAACTGTTTTCACATTTCATCATGTGTCMTAAAGTCTGGGTTTGGTGGAGGTGAAGCAGCTGATCCTGCAGGAGCTGAGGCTTGTTTTCACATCTTCCTTGGCTGGGTTCCMCCTTTTGTTCCCATCTTCTCACATGTAATTTGTGAATGAACACAGTGTTCAAAACACAACATTGTCTCCTGAACAATAAGCGTTCAAAGCGACGCCCACAACGCCAGGCTGACGCTGCAGGTGAACCACGCTGGCACACATCCTCCAGCATTCCTTCACAGCTGAAAGCATTCTCACCTTAAATGCACCTCGACTGAAACTCCTGTGATCTGCTTCCAGTTTCCAACTGAAATGTTCCAAGAAAATAAAAAAGCTGTGAAATGTGATGAAGCAATTCAGAGAATCTCATGCTGAGAATGTGAAGAGATGTTTTCTGTTTTGAGTTAGTTTACTGGACTTCCTGAGCRTTTTTGTTTTGTCTAAAACACTCGTTTCATTTGCTTTAAAAAGTTTAAACAGAAAGTTAAAATGATTTATTATCTTCAGCGTATATTATTAACAAATTGTCTCCAAAAGTGAAAAAAAACCTAATAAATATACAGCGAGTAAAATAAGTACTGAGCACGTCACCATTTTTCTCAGTAAATATATTACTAGAGGTGCTAATGA